GAAAGCGGGGGAAACGGGAAAGCGGGGAAACGGGAAAGCGGGAAACGGGGAAGAAAGCGGGGAAACGGGAAAGCAGGGAAACGGGAAAGCGGGGAAACGGGAAAGCGGGGAAACGGGAAAGTGGGGAAACGGGAAAGCGGGGAAACGGGAAAGCAGGGAAACGGGAAAGCAGGGAAACGGGAAAGCAGGGAAACGAGACGCTCACCAAGAGCACGCGCGACCAAAGCAAGCGCACCCGAAGCCAGCGCAGTCGGAGCCAGCGCACTTGGAGCCAGCGCACTTGGAGCCAGCGCACTTGGAGCCAGCGCACTTGGAGCCAGCGCACTCGGAGCCAGCGCACTCGGAGCTAGCGCACTCGGAGCTAGCGCATGTGTAGTGAGTCTAGCGATACCGAGTCGCCGCGAAGCGGCGACCGGGAGCGCTAGTCTATATATATAAAAACGTATGTCTGTTTGTCTGTCTGTCTGTTTGTCTGTCTGTTTGTCTGCCTGTCCGGGGTACCCTATAGACTCGAAAACGGCCGAACCGATCGTCGTGAAAATTTGTGAGCGTGTTCTGTGGGATCCAGCGGTGGTTATAGGGGGGTCAGTTCTCCGATGCGATGAGTCCTTCTACCTTAAAAAATTATTTGAGTGCTCAACCCACGAAAATACGAAAACTCGGAAAAAAATTGAAAAATCTGAAATTCGCAAAATTCACTAACGCAGGGGGCAGAGAAATATTGAATGAAATGAATATGAATATGAATATTCTCTGCCCCCTAATGTGGCTTGATCTCCGGAGATGCAAGGTGTCTCATCGTCGGCATTGTTCTGACACACCGTAATGCTCACGCACTGTTCGTGAAACATATCTCCGATTGATTTTCTTATGAGACATGGTTGAGCACGTGATTTGCATTCATCACCACAATCATTGTATGAAAAATATCCGTGAGTATAAGCTATGAGTGTTAAAATGATGAGTGCTATTGTTAGCCTCATGCTTTCCAGACTGTTAGACCGGATAGCTCACGCTGTTTCAGGAATACCGATTTGTTGAGTGGCTTGGTCAGCCAGTCGGCTCGCTGGTACTCCGTTGGTATGTATGTAGGCAATATCGATGTCTCCTTTGTCGTAGTGGTCTCTGATGAAGAAGTATTTTAGTTCGATGTGTTTTGTTCGTCTATAGAACTGAGGATTTTTGATGAGCTTGATTGCTGCTTGATTATCCATTTGAATTGTAAGTTTTTCTTCTTTGCCTAATTCTCTCAACAGCTTGGTTAACCATTGAGCTGCTTTTACACTTTCTGCTGCTGCATAGAATTCAGACTCGCACGAGCTGAGAGCGATGTTTGATTGCCTTGTCGTGTTCCACACGACTGGTCCTGACTGTCTCATGATCAGTGTTCCCGACGTCGACTTTCTGTCCTCAATGTTTGAGCCGTGGTCTGCGTCAGAGAATACCACTGTTCCTTCGTCAGAGTTGCTTTTATATGTGATGCCGAGTGATGGGCATGACTTCAGGTATCGGAGTATCGTCTTTCCTGCTTCCAGATGCAGGGGCGTATCCAGGATTTTTCGTTGGGGGGGGCTGAACTTTTTTTGCCCTTCCGCGCATAGTATAAGAGACTCGACATGTTCTGATTCTACGGGATCTTTATGCCTCATTTCTTCAAGCTGCCATGGTGGAGCTCATTGGATGAATCATTTCACCTCCAGGCACTCTTACAGCGTTGAAAGAAAAACAGTGATGGAAGGGTTCATGCAAGTTTATTGAAGTCTCAAGGAACACGACTTGTGACCCTTGGCTATTTTCCCGAACGATTTAAAGTATAAGGTTCAGCTTTCTTGGATTCAAAGCGAGTACGTCGAGAACTTCCTCAGGAGTGACGGAAATGTCAGGCTGCAAATGCATTGAAGTCAGTCCGTTCAACCTTTCCTCAATCATGACTGATCGAAGATACGTTTTCAACAGTCGCAAACAACTGAAAGTTCGCTCAGCGGAGGCTGTCGTGACAGGGAGAGTTGCGAAGATCTGCAAGAGGGTCGCTATCTTCGGAAAATACCTAGGTGAACAATGATTGAGAGCGTCTATTGCCGTTGCCGGCTTCGCGCCTCCTGGGACGCTACTCCACTTGATTTTCCATCTACGGTACTCCTCGCGAACCACGCTATCTTCGCAATTCAAGTCAGTTTCGTAGAACACGAGAGCGTCTGCCAGATCGTCGAATGAGCTGTTCTCTACGAACTTCGGCAGCAGAAACTGGAGTTTGGTCGCATGCTCCCGAATGCCTTCAAACATGGAGTCAAACTCCTCGATAAGCCGGTCGGCATACGGTATATACACCGAAATACGGAAATAATCTTCAACTCCATCAACGGAATGATTTTCTCGGTGGATCTGCCTGCCGCAAAGTCGTGGCAAGCGAACGTCCACTTCGAGCTCTGCGCAAATCGACGACGCTTCCGCGAAAATCTCTCTGAAATCTCGTTCCGCGTCTCCTCTGGAGGCTCTTAGCACAGTTGCGATGCTTTCGATTGCCTCTTGCGCTTCGAAAATATCGAGATCCCTGGCCTGCAGTTGAACAGACAGGGGGAGGAAGAGGGCCGCGAAGCGTTCCAGGACGAAAAGAGAGACCACAAATCCGCACTTGCAAATCGTAGACAGCAGCTCATTGGCTCGAGCTCCTTGATCTCCCGGCTCGTTGGCAAGCGCTTCCAAGGTGCGGACGATGGGAACCAGAAGCTCTCTGAATGTAATGTACGCTTTGTGGCTCTCCACCCACCGCGTGGGGCACAGGGGTTTGAGTCGCCTGGCGCTTGACTCCGGCAAGTTTAACTCCACCGAGTCCTGGAGAAGACGCACCCGGTGCGAGGATGCACTGATGAAAGCACATGTGCTGGCAATCGTACCAATGGTCAGTTTGATACTCGTATTATCAACCGAGTGTGCGATCGCAAGATTCAGACAATGGCTAGCGCAATGGAAATACAGAGCCTGAGGAACTACTTTCCTCAATTCGGCTTGTACTCCTTTGTAGATCCCACTCATCGAACTGCAACCATCGTAGCCCTGACCTCTCATGTTGCTGACAACAATTCCTTCGTCTCGAAGAAGCTTCAGGATACTTTCGGCCAACGCGGCGCCTGTTTTGCTTTTGACGACGCAAAACGAGAGGAAGCTTTCTCGTAGGACTTGCTGACCGTCCTTCGGGGTAACATAGCGAAGACAGACGGTAAGCTGATCAGCTTTACTGACATCTACGGTCTCGTCCACTAGAACCGTGAAAAACTTCGCTGTGTTCACCTCCTCCACAATTTTCCTCCTGATCAGCTTGCCAACTACATCGATGATTTCGTTCTGGATGAGCGGACTGGTATAACTGGCATTCCGGGGACCATCCGTCAAATGCTCTTCCAAAATCCTATCACCCGCATCGATGCGGAAGCGAAGGAGCGCTCGGAAATTTCCGTCATTCCTCTCTTGGCCGCCAGAGTGACGAGGAACCAAGTCGCCATTTTCCCTGTGGCCGCGAAGTGCTAGACCTTGCCGTCCGCAGAAAAGAATCGTTTTGATGATGGGAGTGAGACGCGCTCTGTTCTTAAGCTATTGCTGTTGGCGACCTCGATCGACTAGACTCCTGATATCTCGCACTTCTCTGTTTTCGAACCACTCAATGAAGTTCTTCGCATCAAGTTCGGCATCGCTGTGATAGCTTGTCCTTTCATGATTCTCGAAAATCTCCACAGCGTGCTTGAATTTGACGACTGGCCTCACAACGAGCGCTCCGAGGGAGCGGTTTCTGCCAGGTCCACTGGATTCACTCTTAGCGAAAATAACGCAAAACTTACAGAATGCTCCCCCTCCATCTATCTCACTGTAGGCTAAGCATGGCCACCGTTTGAGATAGTGATGTTGGAAAGCACGACTTTGCCCTGACTGGGACACTTTCGGGAAACCAAAACTTTCATCCGGTGTCCAACAATTAGTCACGATCTCGTACTTTTTCTCATCAGTGAGGGGGACTCGCACTGAAGTATCACTTGGCCTCGCAAACAGCCCAATGTCTAGTGGATGGCTCACAGAGGTCGAGGCTTCAGGCTGTGATGAACTCTCGGCGGAAGCGCTTTGAGTGGTTGCGCTGTTCTCGATTCCTTCGGAAGTTTTGGATCGTTTCTTGAAAAACTGGCTGAGGTCCTGTTGTCTTTTCATCCTGAATTCGTGAAGTCAAAAGAGGAACGCGATCTCGGTCGCCACCCCACAAACAAGTCGCGCAACACTCTTACGAGTCATACATCCCCGTAGCATACGTGACAACATCAACATCAACTCTCCTCCCCGAACGCTATGGATTGCGCCGTCGGGTGACTGCAATTCTGCGTAACAGTTACATGAGTTCTTCTTGAGATAGGACAGCAGACCACCAGGATCTCATCCATTCCTAGAAACCGCATTGATCATGCCAGTCTCAGCTTGGATGCTTCCGATTTTCCCCTTCCAAATCGATGAAGAGCTTGGCAGACTCCGCTAACGAGTCGCGCAGGCGCGCCAAAAAGAAACAACTAGCTCGGAAAGTTTCTGACCACGGCTGTTACTCAGAGGGTTTTTCCATGGAGAATTTTGAGGAGGCGAATTGGTGTTCATAGGGGAACTAAACTCTTGTACGAGGCATTGAAAGCGAGCCTGGCTGTGAGCCGCTTTCTTTGTTCCGCAACATCGTGAAATGTAGGGAAAGATTCCAATTCTGAGACCCAACTTTGATAGTATGAAGGCAAAAATCTGGGGGGGGCTAAAGCCC